CACGTGGCGCTCGTCACGAGGACCTCTGCAGCGCATGCACCTGTCGTTGGCTAGGATCGGGTGGAAGTCGGTGACCCCCCTTACTTTTGAGGACGACTACGGTCGAGGGGTGCACTTGGGATACACCTCGCCCGCTATGTTAGCGCACATGTTGCAGTTGGCGGTCCAACGAAAACATGAACGGGTTTATGTCAGGACACCCCTGGAGCCGACGGTTGTCGGTTTTGTGTCGATCCCCTGAAAACCTTGCTGGGCCCCAAGGGAAGGAAACTCAACCCTCAGCAGAAGTATTTGGCGCTGAGTGTGTTTTGCAAAGGGATTTGGACCAGAGCGAGGGCGCAAGCCGCTGGATACTCGTGCGACGGACTTTGCCCGAAGTGCGGGATGCCCGACAGCGTGCGGCACCGCGTTTGGCAGTGCCTTCACCCTGACACCGTCGCCGCCCGTAAAAGTGTTACTGATGACTCTCCTGTTGAATGGCTGGACGAAGCTCTTGAAAGTCAGGACCGTTTGTTCTTTGATGAGTTAAAGTGGGAGCACCCTGAAGCCTCCTACCCTCCTCCGTCCTCGGCCACTCAACCCATCCTGTACTCTCATGAAGGGGATATTATTGATTGGGGCTCTGTAGACCTCTCGGGTTGCGATGTCGTCATGGACGGCTCGGCCTATCGGCATACCGTTAGGGAGTTGTCCAGAGCGGTTTACTCCTGGGTTTTCTTGGGAGAGGGCGACACTATTATTGCGTACGCCAAAGGTACTGTTCTTTCGGTCCTCCCCCAGACCTCCCAAGCTGCGGAGCACCTTTGCATGGCCCTCCTCCCGATGTTTCAGAGCAACGGCGGAGACCGCCACACCGATTGCATGAATGTGGTGCGCATCTGTGTGGCGACGAATGAGTACCAGGTTTTTCATACACATCGTTATGCTGGTCTTCGGAGAGGTGTCTGCTCCATGAGAAGTTCCCCATCCCGTCGGTGCACCACACACCTGCGCACCGTGCGCGCACTGTTCTGGATGCTCCGTCAGCGCACGAGAAACGGATTGGTATAGGCAACTTGAAAGCCGACGCCCTTGCCAAGCAAGCTCTCCTCCTCCATCCCCAACCCAGTGTGCACGAACGTACGGAGGTGGACAGGAAGTGCGATTTGTTGGCTTTCGCTGCTAGGGTGGCGGGCACCGTGCTTGCCACCTTTCCTCCCGAAAAGTTTGAGCGTCGGCCCTTGGGACCGAGGGCTAAGTTTTTAAAATCGGGAGGTTGGCATTCCTGGCAGGAAATAGGTCAGGGCTGCGCCAGATGTTTGCATTGCCTTTGTTTGTCCACTGATCGGGATGCGCGCCCCATGTTGGGATGTAAAGGACCCAGCAGGCTGTGGCGTGGTGTCCTGGGTCGGTCCTTGGGGCACTCGTTGGCGCATTGCATTGTAAGCAAAGGTGAGCGGAGGCTCACCCTCTTCTTTTGCTCCATGTGCGGAGCGTACTCCTCTGCGCGCTGTCATATGCTCGGCAAGGAGTGCCTTCAGCGCCGACTGGCGGGTGGCACTACCGTGCTGAGGAGGATCTTTGCTGGCCTCTATCCTCACTGTCGTGACAATAGCACGGTGAGCGAATCCTCGAGGCGAGGCGTGGCTTTCTTTTGCTACGAGTCTCAGAGGCCACCGCCGCCAGATATCAAGCCTGCCGCTCTCGCCGTCAGGGCTGACAGAGACGGCAGGTATGGCGGCGCTCCTGGCACGCGTTCAGGCCCGTGAAGCGTCGGCGGTGGCACGGCCCGTTGCCGCGCCTTTCGGCGACGCACCGTGACCAGATTTTGACCAGATTTTGTGGATGGCGGGTGGCTAAATCTGGGGCCTCATCTGTCCCCTGTCCCGCCCGCTGTCCCCCATCTGCTGGGCTGTACGTCAGACGTGCTCAGCGGGTGAGCTGGTCTTCGGCCATCGTGGCCGACGTGCTGTTTCAAAATCGTTCAGGCACCCAGGGGATCGCTGACAAAAAAAAATCGAGGTTCCTGGGGCGTTCTTGCAGCCCTCTTGGAGCCCTCCCCTTGCCCTCTGAAATCTCTCCCTTCTCGTCCTCTGGCCCTCCCTCGTCTTCCCTCGTGTTCCCAGTGCCACGCGGTGCTGTTCTTTGCCGTTCGTGCCCGGGGCAATCTACAGACTGTACTGTCGTGTGCGGACATTGGGTCCCCACCTGGGCCCCACCCCCTGGACTGGGCACCGAGGTCCGGGCATCATCGGATTGTCGAACAGCGGTCGCGTACAGTGCCCGAACCCACTGACTATACTGTTGAGTGCGGTCAGCATTTTTCGGAAGGCCGTCCGCACATTGTACTGTCAAGTTTGGACAGGTGTCCCTGGTCCACAGATTGTACGACCAAATGCGGACATATTGCCTGGGCATGTGTGCACGCAATATGCGGAAAAGGGGGCGCGCCCACAGGACAATCTGCGCACACGCATATTGTCCGCAAAGGGTCCTTGGGTCGTCGGACGCACTCGCGCAGAATCCGCAGATCGGGGGTGGGTCATCCGTGCTACCCGCGCCGAATCCACAGGTCGAAGGGAGGAATCTTGTCTGCGCGCGCCGAATCCACCCTTGAATGTTCTTGCTAACCCTGTCGGTTTTCTGGGCCCCCCCAGCCCAGGCCACCTGGGAGGCCCCCAAGCTCCAAGGGGGTCACGGCAACTGACGAGCCTGGAGCTGCCAGGGTGCCTCGGGCGAGACGGGCCAGACCACTGCAGGTCAGGGCATCTCTGGGCCCGGAGATGCGAGTCAGTCTCAGGCGAAGTGGGCTGGACCACCTCGGGCAAGAGCATATCAGCGCCCAGAATTGCGAGGACGCCCCAGTCGGGGGCGCGCAAACATGGATTGGCGATCAATGGATTTGGCGCGCGGTCGCCACATCCATGGATAGGGGGAGGTGCCATCCCCAAAATGCGACCAGTGCCGCCTCGTCCGGCGGCGGATATCGGCGACTCCCCATGGAAACGGGACCCGTCGCTAATCCACGCCCCCTTGATCCATGCTTGCGTTCGCCAGACTCAGGCGAAACGGGCTGGTCGACTCGCGAGCGTTATCCTTCTCCTCCCGACCCACAGGGTGAAGGAGGAGGAAAGGAGGAGAGTGAGAGTCCGAGGGAACCGCGCAGCGGACGCTGCTAAGACTTATCAAATCGACGAAATTGTTGCCCATGAACCAGTTTGCAAAAATGTTCGTGCCAACTGCGGGTAGGTCGAATTTTTTCGTTCGTTGACCGCGCGCCTTGTCTGATCCGGATGCGCCGCGTCGGAAGCGAGCGCTGCGCAATCAGCGCTGTCATCTCTTGATTGTGGCGCGTTCAAGAGAAGGATTTAGGCGCAAGCGCGCCATTTCACGCCAGAGGTGCTGGACGACGCCTGCCCCGCGTCGCTGTAATGTGTTCATTGCGGCTGACTTCACAAGATTTCCGATTGTTGCATATCAAATTTGCCAGGCGGGCGCGTCGCCACTTGCCGAGCCGCTTGGCACTCCAGCTTGTCCGCGGGACCAGATCCACATATGGCATGAATCTGCTCACTACGGCGGCTGGGTATAACCTCGGGAGGTCTTTGGCTTGGGGGGTCCCACCCTGTTTCTCCCGGCGGGAAACAAACTCGCCCCCCTCCTCCTCCTCCTCCTCCTCCTCCTCCTCCTCCTCCTGGTCCTCCTCCTCCTCCTCCCCGTCCTCCTCCTCCTCCTCCTCATCCTGCCCCTCCTCCTCCTCCTCCTCATTCTCGTCCTCGTGGTCGCTATTGTAGTCGTCATCGTCGTCATCGTCGCGGACTGGATAATGTTGGGGGTTCTTCTCCCAGGGAAAAAACATACTGGGCTACCCTATACGCGAGAGCATTGGTGAACATCTTCTGGTGAGGACAGCGAAAGGAATCAGTGGTTGTAGTTGTATTGGTACTTGTGGTCTTGGTTGGAATCGCAATCATTATCGTGATTGTAATAGTGAATCTGATCGCAATCGTAGTCGTCGTCGTCGCGGCGGATAGTATATTCCCACTAGTGTTCGCCGCGCTGGATAATGTTGGTGGATGTTGTCGCCCAGAGAATAATGATCTCATGGCTAACCCTCCACGACAGAAGAATGTCGAGCACGTTTGGGAGAGGATTGCGAACCAGGTGCATATATAGATATGTATGTGTGTATATATATATATGTATACGCGCATATATGTGATATATGTAAATGTCGACACATTAGTCGCCGACGGCGTACCTCACAATCTACTGCTCGTAGTCGTGGTCGTAGTCGTAGCCGTAGCCGCAGTCGTAGTCATATCGTGGTCGTAGTCGTAAGTGTAGTCGTAGTCGTGTTCGCCGTCGTCGTCGATAACGTGCGGCGGGTGCCGCGTTTAACCATACATGTTCCATTATTGGTGGGACCCCCGTCTGTCAATAAGGCCGCCGAGAAGGTAATCAATATCAACTATTTGGGGGGGGGCTCTGACGACCTATCCCAGTTACACGGCCCTACGGATATCATGGCCAACACACCCAGAAATCAACCCAACCCCACAGGCCCCAAACTGTCCCAGTCCCCCCAAAAAATCTGCCCATTGGATGTCTTCCCTCTTCTGGGGTCACTGGATGGCGCAAGCCTCTTTGAATCCACATTTCTTGTCTTGGTCGCTGGATGCTGCATGGCGGCCTCAAAGGCGACGACGACGTCGACGACGATCCAAGCATACATTTTTAGCATTCCACTTCCCAATGGGGCGACGCGAACCCCACCCGGACATCTCTGAATCGCTTGGTCGCAGAGTCCGCAACATTGTTCTCCAACGCGCCAAAAAAACCCAGCGAAACGCCGCGATATCTCCTGGGCACTTATGAACCGCTTGGTCGCGTCAGCTACGAAGTCGATCCTCAACGCGCCAAGGATGGACGTCCGACATAACTGCACACAGATGGATTCGAAGCTCAGCGAAGATATCTGGGCTCCCCATGCCAGGCGGCCCCAGAGCGGACAGAGCAGCCTGGCGCTTCTCGCTCCAGTGCCAGCCCACCTCCCCGGCGCACCTTGGCCGCCACCGTCGGAGGCACGGTGCACGCTCCCCGGGGAGAAAGGAGCCGGGGGGTTGGTGTCGAGAACGCGGCTGGGGGTAAGGACGCGGATGGCCTAGATGCTGATGAAAATGATGAGGGTGATGATTATGGCGACCACAAAAACAGTGATGATGACGATGATGGTGATGACGACGGTGGTGATGATGATGGTGACGACGATGACGGTATGATGGTGATTTAAAAAATTTGTCCAACACCCACTCGACGACCTCGATAGCAAGCGTCTGCTGAGGATGTCTCTGGTCGCCTGGGCCTCGCCTGCTTGCGAGCGTCTACACTGCAGCTCCCGAAGTACGTTGTACCCGAATATATAATCTCAATGGTTTGCTCATCGGCGGAATTACAATCCGAGAGTTGACGCCGCCCGCGCCGTGGGGTCGCTCACGCGGGCTGCTACTTCTTGCCATATACGTGATCGTGTTGGCCTTGAGCGCGCGTCTCTGCGTGTCCTCCGCTCCCATGGTTTTGAAGAAGACGGCGGAGGCGTGCTGCAGGTCTATCAGCACGCAGTTCTGTGCGAGGGGGAAGTCAACCGAGAGGGCTGGTGTGACTGAGCCCGCTGTCGCTACCGATCACGGCCTCCGCATGCAAGTGCGTTGCCGCCTCGAAATCCTTCAACTTGGCCGTGCACGTCGCTGGTTACCCTGGATCTCCCCCCGTCGCGGGTCCTGCTGAACTCACGAACCTTGCACCACCCCTCGATCATAATCGGATCGTTGGCAACTTGGATGTTGTATTCAGATTCCCCCCGAGGCAGTGAAAGTCCTGGAAGTCTGGGGAGACGCCATTGGCGAATCTGCTCTCGGTCTGGTTGGAAGTCTTCCAAAAAAGGTGGAGGTGAAGGCCCCCGAAATCATGGCCGCCTCCAATTTTCTTGGCCTCGTTATCGCACTGGGCGTCAACCACTTCGACTATCACCTGGTGCTCGCGTTTCGACGAACCTGGTCAGATGCGATTCGAAATCCAAGGACCTGGTGCGAAGCTCCAGCTGCCTCAGCAACCTCGGGTCGGCCACCATGTTGCCCGGTTCGTTCTGCTTCCTGAGCTGCACTAGCCCGACCCAACAGTCTGGCATCGCGCCCGAAGTCTAGCCCCCCCCCCATCTTCCCACCCCCCACATTCCCACTCTGAGTCTGGTTAACGTGACCTGCTGGCCCGGGAATGGCACTGGAAAGTGCTCGAGCTGCACAGGCCGACGGAATGCCTCTGTGGACTCGGTGAGCTCTGCGCGCAGCGGGCGCGGCTCCTCTGTTGCCTCGCCGATGCCAGAGCCCGACTGAGCGCGATCTGGGATGCGGAGACCTTCTTCTCGAATCTATGCCTCGTGAGGTTGCTTGCCGCTGCCTTGGCTTAAGATATTGCGCCGCATGCTACGCGCTAACTGTTCACTGCCGTGAGTCTCGCTACACGTCGCACTGCGCGCGGGCCCGTCTTACCGCGCGCGAAGTGGCTCCTAATCTGCTTTTTGCGTTGTCAGAGTCATGTGGCATCATGGCCCATCCAGCCCCAGGGCCAGACATATGTAGATCCAACTGCCCACCTCCTCGTTGGTACTTGTTCCTCTGACTTGTATTCCATATGCGTGCGATAGCGTGCTCAGTGGAGATAAGGGTCGAGAAAGTACGGGCTTGTCGCGTTTGATACGGTGGATCAACACGTTGCGGATTCCGTCGAGGAGCTCGCTCAAGTCGTTGCGTACCCGGAGGGGCAACGCGTTGGGTTCGCGCTGTCCAGAGATCACCGTTTCGCGATAGAGGCCGGCGGGGGGGGGGCGGTCCGATTCTCTTAAACTCCAGCTCTCCGAACAGACCTGCGAGCAATTGGAGAGATACGCGTGGCAACTGTTTGCCACCTGCTGCAGTCATTGGACACGTCTCGCTCTCATTGCAATGAGCAGATGACCCGCGTTTACCCTGTATCATACGCGGCCGTGAGCAAACTGTCGCGCGCGATCCCCACCATGCGAGTCTGTTCCCTCCGCAAGTACACGGCCGTGTTTGACGAGCCTAGACTCATGATCATCTTCGGGGGTGGCCTTTGGTCGCGCCCGCAGATCACGACCGCCGAGCGCGCTGTCCAATGCCTGGCACGCGAAAGAGTTGATGTGAAGCCGAAGCGGGACACCCGATGCCCGGAACTTCCGTTGCTGAGCCCGCCCGCGATCGGCCCCACGATGCGCTTCCCTATTTCCGCCGCAGTGGTGGAGGTTCTCGTGAGCAAAGCATGTAGATATCTTGCGGGCGTGCCTGTCCTTCCCTGCAACGCTCTGCCATTGCCGATGGCGGTCACACTGTTGTAGCCGCCCTTACCGGTGCCGTCGAACACATCGACGTGCTTCGTGGCAATAAGGTGCGCGTCGATCCCGTTGGAGCCACGGTCGGTCATTATCCTGTTGCGTGCGGTTCCCCATGTTCGCGCTGCACTGGCGCCTGGCACCATGAGTCGGCGAGGTCGTCAACTGGACCCGTTCGCGAGACCAGCTGAATTCTTCAAGCAGCAACTCATCGCGGGCTCTTTCGGCCGTTCATGCACATGCGGTCGCGGCGACATCCGCCGCCCATGCGTCGCCGAGCAGACTCCACTACCAACTCTAGAAAAGCGCCCAGGGGCATCGCGGCAAGATTCACTCGCGCGCAGCATCCTTTTCCACGGCGCGCTCGCCATCCTCAGGCGCGACGAATTCCATGACCGTGTCCAGGGCACTGGGTGATCCATGGAATAGAATGCGCCGATTACTGAAACCCCCTTGACAAGTTGCCACCTGAAGACCTGGTGAAACAAGATCGCCCTCACAGAACCGCGTTGGTGGATCGGACGGGCAGGAGTAAGCGGACAAACACTCGGCGAAATGTCGGAGCGCTCCTGTCGTGGACAGGTTCATCCCAATCCCTGCTTGCTGTTGTCGACCGCACTGCGTTGATGCTGCCTGGCATGCAACTTCATGCAAAAGCGTGCTGCCTACGCGCTGCGATCAGACCAAGCACGGCACAATCTCAGGAAACCGATGGAGTGTTGAACGCCCTTGTGGCCCTCCTGTGCTTGCTCATCTCTGGACTCAGAATGCGGAACCTGCTGTCGATGTGGCAGGACGTCTCGACCCCAGTGGCTTTGCAGACGCCCTCGGGACCAGTTGTTGGCATCTCTGTCTGTCCAACAATGGACATTCGCCGTGGACGCGGTGGCTCTGTAAATTATTCTCCTTGGTTCTCGCCCACCTCCAGCAATCATCCGTGGTACTCTATGCGTTGTGTATCAGCCTTTCATTGTCGCGGCTTCCCTGGAGGCTCAGCATCGGCGCTCCTGAGGTTGCGCGGGGTCTGTCTTCACCTCTCGTTTTAATTAGACATTGTGAAATACACGTGGGCTCACTCATGATTCGAGATGTGATGTATTCGTGTGTTTGTGGACCTTTCTGTTCTACAGCTGCCCATTGCGATCGCGCCTTTGTCGTAAGAGATCCGTTTGCCATTCGTCTACCTTGGTAAGATCTCGGTGTAGTTGGGGTTGTCCGTGACGGCTTCGGCTGCGCCATCGTTTGTCATCGTTGATCGCCCGATCGTTAGACTGGTAGACGCCTACACGGTTTGGCCTGGGCGGGGAACAAGCGAGCATGATTCCAAAGCGACCGGTCCGTCTCTCCACGCTGGCTGCTGCCAGCCTGCCCCAAAAACATTTAGGAACTTCGTATGTGCCGTGCAAAATTCCTTCCAAACTGCGATTTGCGTGGCATGAGACTGACGCCGCAAGGACGTACAATTCCTGCGGTAAACCTCTATCCCAAATGGGATGCATCATGGAACGGAAGATCACTGATGAGCTCGCTCTGGCAACCGTGACTCTTGATGTTTGTGCCGGTGAAGCCAGCGATGTCCTGCGCCTTTAGCTCGTCGCTGTTGTCGAGCTGGCCAGGCCCATCCTGAGCCCAGGATCGGTGCATAGGCGCTCCTACCTTGGCCAGGAAGGCATATGCACCGATCCTGGGTCAAGGATCGGCCTTGCCAGGATCGGTGCATGTGCATAATTCTCGTCGCCCGAGTTGGTTCCAGTGCGCAGCCCGCGGCCGAATGACCGCTCAAGCGCGGGCCGCCTGCGGAGCTGCCTGCATGGGCGTCCCTCGCAGCAATGGTGCAGGTTGTGTGCCAGTGGGGAACAGGAAACGCCGTGTCCCGGGGTTTGGGCTGACCTTGATGAAACGATGACGATGACGACGATGATGATGATAATGATGATGAGGGCGACGACGACGATGCTGATCATGATGATGATGTTGATCATTATCATGATGACGACGACGACGATGCTGATGCTGATCACGATTGTGATGATGCTGATGATGATTATGATGGTGGTGATGTTGATGTTGATGACGGTGATGATGCTGATGATGTTGATGATGATGTTGATGACGATGATCCTGATGATGATGATGATGATGATGATGATGATGATGATGATGATGATGATGACTGTGATGATGCTAATCACAAGGGCCGGAAAAAAAACGGCCGTTGATAATCATGTTGCTGTTACTGATGCGAATATTATGATGACGAGTCCGATGCCGATGCCGACGACGATGATGGTGATGAGGGCGGTGATGAGGCTGAGGTTGAGGCTGCTGATGAAAATGATGATGACAGGAGGAGAAGGAAGAGGAGGAGTAGGAGGAGGGGGAGGAGGTGGCGGTGATGATCAGGTGCCCTTAAGCAACACAACAAAAACGTGTCTCAACTTCCTCGCGACGTAAGTCAGCGTGCAATTGGCCATGAGCTACGCAGGCGCTAGCGACGAGGAGACCCAGGACCCAGAGGATGCACGGCGCGGCCGACGGCCCCCGCGGGGCCGCCACGCCACCTGCCTCCTGGACGTCCAGAACCTTCGGGAAAGTCTCATTGAGTGACCAAAAAAAGGTGAACGAAAAATGACGCAAACATGAAAAAACATCGGAGGTCCGCGCGGACTTCTTGGATCGGCGCTGGGGCCCCCTGGCGTCGCCTCCGGCACCGCCACTGGCGCGCTCCGCGCGCCAGGGAGGGGGGTCGAGCGCCGATCCGAGAAATCCAAGCGGACCTCTGAATTTTTATGTTTATGTCAGTGTTCGTTCCCCTAGAAAAGAAACGGGTCTTACGCGAGATGGCATAGCGGCCTTGCGCGGTGGCTTACGCGGACCGCCAGCGCGGCACGCTACATTGGAAACCAGAGCAAACGCGCGACCTTACGCGGCCAACTTCCGCGCGAATGTCCTTGCAGTCGGACCCCCTTTCTGCGTCGCTCAATTGCCCTCCAAAGACCTCCAAATACGCGAAAACATGACGGCCCCGAACTTGCCTCATGCGAGCCGTGAGAGCGCCCAGTGAGGCCCCGACGAACTTCAAAACGAGCCTACAAAGCCCCGACAGGCCTCGAGAAGTCCTCGCGAGGGCCTTCACACATACCAAGTCCTCGAGAAAATCCAACACCCAAAACATGACGACATGTACCGAACGCCCTCGTTGCCAATACGATGGCCAATACCGCGAACCCATCACTGGAGACCTCGCGGCAGAGGGCGAAGCCTTTCCGACAAGGATCGAGGAATGAAATGAACTGGCGCACTCTAGTAGCACTGCGAATCACTGCCAGCAGTGATTTCGGGATGTGGGACGGCTTCGGTGCAACATGCCACGCCAAAGGAGGGAGAATAACACCTGGCAGCGGACGCCGTCTTCGCATGTTGTGGCGGTTCTGGCAACATGTAATACCGCAGCATCCCTGTGGAACGGAAGAAAGTCGGCATCGGCACCAAACAAAACAACTTCCTTCATCTGGAACGCCTTACTGAGAGGCGAGGATTTATCCATAACCACCGCCAGGGAGGCAATATTCGGGGACCTCGGCAGGCGGTGGATATACAAAAAATCTGACCGGACCCTGGGGGGGGGGCACCATATCTAGATCCGTCGCTTGCCGAAACTCCGAAGATCGATCTCGGGGGCGGTGGTTTAAGAAAACATCTGCCTCGAACTTACTGGTGGAACCACGTCCTGTTGGTGCTAACATCGACTTGCGAGGCCCCGATTCTGGCTGGGTGGGGCACTTGGTCAAGCCGTCGGGCATCGCGGACGCGCTGCTGCTGCTCTTGGCCGCCTCTCTGCGGCAACCCTGCTCTCCCACGCGCTCCCCCTGATCGTCGCCTCTCTCCTCGACCTTTTCTCCTCCTCCTCCTCCTCAAATGTTAGAGGAGAAAGATATACCCTTACCACTGCCCGTTCTGGAGGGCCCTCGTGGCCATGGCTGGGTTATCCCTGTTCGCACGCGGCCCCGTGCGCTGGCTGGGAGTTCTGGGTTGACGCCTGGTGGGCGCCACGCGCGCTGGTTTTTCGATGTTTGGTTGTTGTTGTTGTTCTCGCGCGGCGGGCGCCCGTGGGAACCACGCAGACTGTCACAAAAAAACGCCACCACCCTCCCACCCCAGAACTCGTACACCCCGCGAAATGCTTAAGAAATCATGGGTTAAGAAATTCATAGTCTCAGAACTTGAACAAAAACCCAAGATTTCTATCAAAGTCTTAAGATTTACATTGAAACGTTAAGAATAATCGAGACTCTGGCCGAAAACTTCGGTTTTCTTAAGCATCGCCTAAGGTGTACACTCTCGGGTACTACTATAATATGCGTTTGGCTTGGTTTTTGGAAAGAACGCGGACCATCCCAGCCAGCCAGGCATTGTCATCCTTCACCCTTGAGAAGTAATACTATGCGCGCACATTCGTTCACCCTCACAAACTAAAGTTCCAAACGGTCATTACAACAACAACCACGGCACACATTCCACACGCGCGCGCACATGCCGAATCCATATCAAACGCAAACGTGCAAACACTCCGGCATGGAAGCGTTCAAAATTACTTGGCAAATTCGCCGGCCCAACGGGCCAGAGGCGTGCTAAGATCTCCGGTAACTGCTAAATAATACTTCTACTTCGCGCGCGCGGGGCGGCCCCTGGGGGTCCCCGGAAGAAAAGTACCCCGGGCGATCCCCGGCAGGGTCGGGTCAAAGATGGTTTTCCTCCTGGGCGCCGCCCCCGTGGCCCTCCAGAGAGCCCCAAGAAGGGCCACGAGGCCGCCAAGAGCCCTCCAAGATGGTTCAAGAGTGCTCCGAGATGCCACACGATCGTTCCAAGACGCCCAAGATGGCCCCCAGACGCCCCAAGAGGCCTCCAAGAGCACTCCCCAGAGGGCCCCAAGAGGCAAAATTCATTACTTGTCCTTAGGTTTTGGGCAGATTTTGGTGTGTCCATCTTTTCGGCTTCCCGACGCCCCAAGACGGCCCAAGAGGCCCCCAAGATCGCCCCAAGAGGGCGCCCCAAGATGGGCCAAGAGGGCTCCAAGACGGCCCCAGAGGCATCCAAGACGGCCCAAGAGGGGCCCAAGAAGGCCCCAAGCGATGCCCCAAAGGGGGAACACACATCAAAACTTCGAGCCCTCGGCCTTAAGAAGCCCCCAGGAGGCCTCAAGAGGCCCCTGAGAGGCCCCAAAAGCCCCCAAGAGGCCCTCAGGAGGCCCCCAGGCGACGCTGAAGAGGCCCCCCAGCGGCCCCAAGAGGCTCAGTCATGCGAAATGGGCTGGCGGAATGAGCGAAGCGATTCAATACTAACCACCGTCTGGTCTTAGCCATCTCGTCCGGCACCCGCAACCTCACTTCACCACGCAATGCACCCGCGTTGAGCTAGCATGCGCCCAGTGCGTACTCAATGAAAGTATGCGGGCCACACTCACGCGTGGTGGCGCGCGCGTGTTGAAATCCTTTTAGAATTCCGATCACATATACAGCTCTCCCAAAGCATATGCAAACGAGAACACAAGATTTGTTTTCATATGTCTTGCATGTCTGCGTGCATTTCCTCACCATCTCCCTCACCGACGCCACCGCATTACCGCCGTTGTTATTGTCGTCAATCGCCGCCAACACGGTCATCACCATCCCGATCGCCTTCATCAACGAAACATGGGCATCATCATCATCATTACCATCATCATCATCATCATCATTATCATCATCATCATCATCATCAGCATCATCATCATCATCATCATCATCATCATCATCATCATCATCATCATCATCATTGTCACCAGCATCATCGTCATAATCATCATCATCAGCATCATCATCATATTATCATTAGAATAGTCATCATCATTATCGCTATCGTTGTCACCAGCATCGGCGTACGTAGTCTAGGGCCGTGCCGTCGCTATTCGTCATCATGCCACAACCGTCGCTCGTTTCCACCTTTGCCGTCGTCATCATGGTACCGCGCCCGCCCGCATCACCGACCCGCATTGAAACTCCGAGGCGCCAGCGCGTTTTTGGGACACGCAGGAGAATTCCAAGCGGCATGCGCCATCGCGGCCGCGTCGGCTGTGCCAAACTAGCTGGCCATTCTGCGCGCGAGCTTGCGCGCTAGTGCAGCCGCAAAGATGCACCAGCCAATGCCAACTAGTCACCACAATCGCGACGGTATGGGCAGTGAAAAGAAAATTGCGGGTGGAAAGGTTGGGATGATTGCGCGAGCAGTGGAATTGATGATTTCATGTTCTGTAAAGCAAATTGTATCACATCCCTTGCACAATATATGGATGACAACAAATCTTCTACCGATTCAAAGGACGAATGAACTCTACCACCCTTCCCCCTGGAGTCCTCCGCACCACACGTGGCACTGTAAAAAGCATAACGATGACGTTCCACCATTCATCTTTCATACGGAACCAGACAATCCCAGCCAGGCCAGCATCGACCCCCCCCTTTGATCCAAACTACGTGCTACCATGCGGGCGCACTCACTCACCACAGGCGGACATCTTGCAACACACACACACACACAAATACATGTATGAACACATAGCCTCTATAATGCTTTAGTTTGGAATCCCTCCTTGTTTAAATCGACGGTGAACAAATGGCCCTGACACCTGTTCCTCCTCCTCCCCCCGCTCCCCCTCCTCCTTCTCCTCCGCCTCCTCTTGCTCCTCCTCCTCTTCGTCCTCGTCCTATTGGTCCTCCTCCTCCCCCTCCTCCTCCTGCTCGTCCTCCCCAGGCGAAGGGTACTCCCCCTTGGTAATCCCTCTTAGCATCCAAGGACTGCCAAAGGCGGCCCGCTCGCAGACCTGGCAGCTTGGTCAGGGATCCTCCTGGTCCTCTTCGTGTCATTCCTAAGCAGGAGGAGGAGGAAGAGGAAGAAGTGGACGAATCATTCGTCGTCGTTGATGCGCGGCGGGTGCCGCAATTAGTTGCCTCGTATCGGTGTGACCCCAGTCCTTCAATGAGGCCACCGAACGAATGATAATTAGTTACGCCCAAGACTTATCAAGGTGAACGGAACAAAACAAAAAACATCGCGAAACGCGCATGTCGAGTTAACGTTATTCACACCCGTGTTGCCGACATGTCAAAACCAACACAGAATAACCGAAACATCCACCGTGTCATCGTGCATATGTCTTGCCCATGCGGCTTTTGAAATATCGTGAAGAAACCGCATTCTCATCTATCCACACGGTGCATCTGCGTTGCATGATTTCGCATGCTCCCAGCGAGCGATCCCGTATCGCATGACAACATGTGGGCCACATGCGCGCCGAATCTGTTCAAGACCACCGCCCTCATTTTCAAGCACATATGAAGAACCACGCGTTTGTTTCAAGACCCGTCTGCCTACCAAGGACGTTTGCGTGTCAACACATCATCACCATGACCTTCACCGGCGCCACCGCACCACCGCCGTCGACATCATCGTCAAATCGCAGACTGTGCTGTCAGCATCAGCATAATCGCTGTCAGCACCGGCGCATGGACATCATGATCGCCATCGTCGTCACCAGCGCCAGCGCTGTCACGGGCCTAGCCATCGTCACCGCCATTATCGCTACCGCTATTGTTACTATCACCTTCGTTGCCGCCTTTGTCGGCGCCATCATGATACCGCGCCCACCCGAGTACCCGACCCGCAATCAAGTGCCCGCGAACCAGCGCGGTGTTTGAGACGCGCTGGAAGTTTCCATTGGTAAGCGCCATCGCGGCCGCATCACTTGCGCCAAACCATATGGTTGTCCTGACCGCGAGCATTCGCGCGCCAGCGCGGCCGCACAGATGCGCTAGCAACTGCCATTCGGCAGCAGCAGTCGTGGCCGCGTGGGCTTTGCCGAACAAGTTGCGGGTGGGAGGGTGGGATGATGCATTCCATGTGCGACACGACGTAGTGCGCAGCGAGTGCAGGAGCTCACTGTCTGGGGTCCACACTGACAAACATGATCAATTGCTATAGCAAGCACTGGTTGAACAAGGTGGCGGGCCAAACCACGACCACCTGCTCAACCAATGCGCCTAGCGGTGTGCGCGTCATATACTAGAGCTTCGCTGCGGAGGCGCATGTCTACGAGGTGATACAAGCGATACTGTCATGCGCGCTGCATCGCTGCATGAGCACAGCACCCCATTGATGCGAGCGTTCGCGAAAGGAGGGGGTGCATGAGAACACCAAGTGGCATGTCAAGTGTACCAACTAATCGACAAGGTGAGTAGTCGGGCGTCAAAGTGGCACGATCTGCACGAGCGTCGATGTGAGCGGCGATGCGACAATGTCAGCGATCAAGCGATCGAAGCACGGAGATGGAATCTCAGAACAGGTCCGCGCAGGTCAGCCTGCGGTCTCCCCGCGAGGCCCCGTCCATGTTGTCGTGCCGTTCGATACCGAGGGCGAAGGCCTCGAGGGCGGCCGGAAAAGACGTCGAAGGTCAACGCTCCCGCCGCCGACCCCAACGAGGAAGCCCGCTCCTCCAGCAAGGCGAGTCGGGCGCCGCATGGTCGAACGACTCGGCACCGTCGCGCTCCTCATCGCCCTCCGCTGCGGAGCCGTTGTCAGATCCTCCAGCTGTGGCGAAGCGCTTCCCGCAGGGCCCGCCAGGCGCGTCACAAACTGTGCGAAATTCGCAGACGTCGTCCAGCGTCGTGTACAGTCCAAAGTCGCCCAACGTCGTCCAACGACCCCGCGCAAGTAGTGGCGCCGCTGCGCGTGGATGCTCGGGCGCCAGCGCTGCGCCTCGACGCGCCGAGGCCACGGGCGAGGCCCGAGGTCGAGGCCGGCCGCGGCGTGCTCGACAGCAACGCAGATATTACGCCCACTGTCGGTGCTATCCAGCTCCTCGAGCTCCTGGCCAAGTCCTGGCGCTTGCTCGTCATCGCGCCAAGCTGCCAACGTCATCTGTTGGATGTGGCCAAACCTCGTGGCAACACACAGAAAGAACCTCCAACCCGTCGGCCAACGTCGTCGGCAATGTACTGGGCCGGGGTGGGCGCCGGGAGGGGCGTCCTTCAGCAAGGCGGTGCAGTCCGTGAGCGTTGAAGAGGCCGAGTCCTGCTCGACGTAGGAAGGGCAAGTGCTGGTGCGGCAGCATTGCCAGGAAGCTAAGCGCAGGGTGAAGGCCAAGAATCTGCGATCCGTCCTCGAGGAGAAGGTTCAACAATTGAGCCTGTTTGCGCTGCGGAGGGGCGGCGTAGAAATGTGGAGCAATTCGTTGGCTGGTTCGCTGGGGTGGTGGTGGCCAGTCGTTGTTGTCTCACGCATGGCGCGGAAAGCATCAGCAGCAGAGTGAAAAGCGCTGTTGATTCCATCTCCTCCCATCAATCTCTCGCTCCGTCCTCGAGCAGGGCACGACGGCTTCGATCACATACGAGGCGCGAGTCGATGGAGCACCGTACACAAAAGCTCCACAACACGCCTCAACATGTTTGCGGTGATTTTAGCGGTATGCCCCTCCTTCTCTCCCTAATCCCCCATGATTGATAACATGTTGACAAATGCACTGCCGTGCAAACAGATGTCTCCCCCATACCGTGAGCAGAGAGAACGTGAAATCCTCAACGAAAAAAAACAACATGTCGAATGGAGCCAGCCGTTTGACCCAGACCCGATGGTGCTTCGGTCGCTTGCTCTGCTTCCTCCGACGGTGCGCCGAGAGGGATCGCGTTCCCATCTAGAGATCAAGGAGTACAGTCAACCCGTATAAGAAGGACGCACGATAAGGATGCAAGGGCCTTAGAAGGCCGTGTGAACACTTTGCGAGCGGGGCACAGCAAGCAAAAGTGGCCAAGGATGGGCCGAAAGGGAATGATGCACGGGTAACCTCGGAAAGTCGCTCAAACTCACCATACGGGTCGACTGTACCACGATTGATGGGGAGACCAAGCGGTAACGATACCGCTACTCCCCGGACCTCTCCCGAGGTGCGTTCTGACCAGAATCTCGAGGCGAATCCAGCGGTGGCGACGAGGGCCTCCTGGGAGGCCGACAAGAGGGTACCTCTCCCTCCGGGATGGAGGAGGAGGAGGAGGAGGAGGGATGGAGGGAGGGAGGGAGGAGGGGAGGGGAGGTGAGGGAGGAGAGAAGAGGGAGGAGGGAGGAGGGAGGAGGGAATGAGCGGGGCCCGCCGACTCGCTCGACCCGGCCCGCTCCTGGCCGTGGACGTCCCTAGGGGTCCCAACTTCGCGCTTCGCGATCCGCAAAGCGCGAATAACTTCGCGCTCTCGCGCCGCCCCCCCAAACGGAGAAAAAGAGGACCAGGAGGAGGGGGAGAAGGAACGAGGACCACGAAGCGCGAATAACTTCGCGCCCTCGTGGGAGCCCTTGACGTCCCGTCCCCCCTCCTCGTCGGCCTCGCCGGCCTCGCAGTCGCTTCGTGCGCTGGCTGGTCCCGCCACCAGCCCGCGGCCATCACCAGGTGAGCGATTTCTTATTCGGTGGTTCGACATTGGGCGGAAGGGGGAGGGGGGGTCTGGCTCGGGACCTCTGCTTACGGCGACTGTTTGCAACAGTGCGTCCCATGAGGGGAGACTCCACCTGCTCGAAACAGGCGCAAACAACAGCCAAGATCTACTCCACTGGGGGGGGGGTTGGCGAGGGCCCGAGCCGATCGGCAAAACAATTAATAAACAAACGATCACCAGCAAACCGGGCGGCCTTACAGCATGATGGGGTGAGAACTAACGCCGCGACGCAGAGGGGTGGCCATATTTTGCTGGGCTGGCGATCCAATGACACCTCCTTCCCCACGGTCTTCCCACAATTCATTCCTACACATGTCTGTCCTCAGTTTCCACATCCATGTTATCGTTGTCCTCCAAGGCGCCACCATTGCTGCCATCCTGTTCTGCCTCCTCCTCATAACCATGCCAAGCCTCTTGCTGCAGCGCATCCCGCTCAGCATGTAGCCTCGTGCGCAGGGGGGGGGGGAGCAAACGAGACGGATGCGTTGGGCTGCGTGGCGGGAGGAAGACATCCACTCGGCCCGTAGAGGCACCTGTGATTATGCTCTAGACGCTTCGCGCTTCTCACTCTGTAGGACTCGCAGAAGTAGAACGAACAACACCTATCTCCACACCCGAATGGATCGCTCGATGTTGTTTCGACCGCTTGATGTAGATGCACTGTGACCTCAAACGTATCCAAGCTAGGTTCGACATGGGCTCGGCGTCGATTCAGTCCAGCCAAAGTCAAGGATATCCATGTGCAGATGTAGATCATGCCATATATATATATATATATATATATGTGCAGTCGGACTTAGGCCATAACAATATCCTTCAAGAACATGAGACCCTCCATCGGCAAACACAAACAGAACATCCAAGGGTATCCTCCCCAGGATGCACAAGAACGTCCAACAAGCACGAAGAACAATAGACCTAGGTCCGATTGCATCCTACCCTTCCTCCTTCTCCTCCTCTTCCGCCGCCTGCTGCTCCTGCAACTTCCTTTCGTCCCCATCCCACTCGTCCTCGCCTCATCCTGTTGCTCCCCCTTCGACTCCTCCTCCCTGCCACCCCCTCGCCTGCGGCGTTTGGGGCACCAGTGGCTCGAGATTGGAAGGATGAGGGGGAGGAGGGGGGGGAGGAGGAGGAGGAGGAGGAGGAGGAGGAGGAGGAGGAGGAGGAGGAGGAGGAGGAAGAGGAGGAGGAGACGACTCCCCAGCCTCGCGGGCCACCACGCCAGTGGTTGCCCCATCGGCCGAAAACGAGCCGCCATGGACAGGCGACGGGTGCGCTTGCAGCACGGGCTAGCCCTCTCACCCTCCATCGCTTTGTTCTCCCCCCCCGTCCTCCAAAGGCCCAAAGACCGGGCAGCGCCATCGGAATGGCTGGACCCACGCCTCTAAGCACCTGGGCCCCCAGCGCACTAGATCCCTCGGACGTCTAGAGACCTATGCTCATCCATCCTTGGGCACCCAAGTCCGCGGCCCCCTTCTGCACATACTCAGCCACCGTAGTCCCCACCAGCGCGTCCAGGGGAAAAAAACACAGAACAACTACGAAGCAAGGGCGTGAAACACACGGAGTCGGAGCCTCTGGCGGCGGAGAGTTCTGAAAGGCCAGCGCAAGTTGGCACTCGTTCTGACCACCCTGCGTTCTCATGTTCGACCTTCGCTTCCCCATCTTCCTCCCAGACAATCATATACATACCGATGCCCAAACACCCCTGCCCACGCAGCAATGACTATGGGCATACGATATAATCCTGCTCATACCCAAAACAATCCCGTCCTCATGTTTATCATTTTCCTTGGCATGCCGCTGGAGGGCTCGCTCGGGGCGTCAGCTCCTCCTCCTCTTCCTCCTCCACATCGTCATCATCACCATCATCATCATTATCATCATCATCAGAAGTGTCAGCATCCTCATCACTATAATCACCATCAGCATCATCACAGCACCATCATCATCATCACCACCATCATCATCATCATCATCACCATCATCAGCATCATCAGCATCAGCATCATCAGCATCACCATCACCATTACCATCATCAACACCAGCATCAGCATCAGTATAATCATCATCAGCATCATCATCATGACCATCATCACCATCATCACCATCATCACCATCACCATCATCACCATCATCATCATCATCATCATCATCATCATCATCAGCATCATCATCATCTACACGTCCCGCATCTGCTCGCACCAGCGCGCACCTCTGCGTGCCCCTCCCTCGTCCTCCCCGCCCCTTTCTCCCTCCCCCGTCCTCCTCCTCCGTCCTCCTCCTCCTCCTCCTCCTCCTCCTCCTCCTCCTCCTCCTCCTCCTCCCCTCGAGTCGCAGCGCATCCGCTGCTGCTCCGCCGTCCGGCCTCGTCGCAGGGAGCGCTGGGCACGGGCGGGGCAAGGGCTCCCCCCCCACCTCCTGTCGCTTTGAAGAAAATAACGACGGACGGGTTCAGCAAATGTCGGCCTCCGGGGGCCGTCCCATGAAAGGGAAGCCCAGCCTCGAGGAAGGGGTCCAGATCTCGAAGGGGCCACGCTGTGAAATGCTCATGACGTCGAAGCTCTGGGTCACAGCATGCAGCAAGATGGCGGCCCAGCCAGCACGCAAGAGCACCAAAGAAGGGCCCCGGGGGGGGGGGGGCGGCTGTAGAGAACTCAGGAAGGCTGCAGCCCCCAGAACCAACCCAAGAGCGGCCCCAAGAGCCCAACAAAAAGCGTAAAGAGGGCCCAATAGAAACCCCAAGGCTCAGGAAGAGATCCCCGACGCCTATCGTTCTGAAAAGAAGACGACCTGAAACATTGTGGTAACTGTTGCCTCAAAGAACCCTCTCCCGTCACCAGGACCGTCAACCATTGGCTCGCAATGAAAAACACTTGTCCCAGGGAAGGGGTCCAGACCGCTGGAGGTTCACGCTGCGACGAAATCACGTGGAAAATGGATGGGCAATCGTGGGTCGATGTTTCCCCCCCCGTGGGCCAGTGTCCCTCCTTCGGTGGCAGCTCATGGGAGCCTCCCGTGTCATCTTGCTGGCTCTTGCGAATCGACAATAGCCTACGTCAAACGACGCTAATCGATACAAATCGACCAGACATCGATATTCGGCGCTTTCCCATGAATTACCGTACGTTTCCGCACGCTAGTGCACTCTGAAAACGGACATTCGAGCACATACGGAGCTCCCATGAGATACTACTGAGCCCCCCGTCGGCGCCCCTGAAGAGAAATCCGAATGATGACGGATCTGAACCTGCGAGATAGAGGCCTTCCAGATGGGGTCCGAGCAGATGGGGTCGAGGATCGCGCCGCATCTCCGATACATCACCGATGCATCGGCGGCGTCGGCGACGCATCGGCGACGTCGGCGCGGATGCAATCGGGCTCCACACCCAGCCGCATCGCCGATCGTCCATGCATCGGCGATGCGGCACGATCCTCCAGCCCTTCGGTGGCAACTCATGGTAGCCTCCACTATCATCTTGTTGGCCGGCGGCAATCGGCGCTAACCGACGCTAATCGATAGATCGGCGCTACTTCATGGATCACCAAACGCTACTCGACGCAGAAGACGGAATTGAGAGCTATACAAGACTCCCGTCATCTGCTACCGAATGACCCCTACTCGTGAGTGGCAACGGTAGGGGGAACTGGCATAGGGAAAAATTGAAAATATCAACCAGGAATCGGCGATACATCGCCGATAGATCGGCGATGGGCCCCCGATAGCAAATTTGCATGTTCATGGGCCATCGGGCCCCTATCGGCGATGAGTTGGCGATTCGGGGTCGATACGGCCTCCTCATGCCCTATGCCCACCCCCCCTTATCGCTGCCCCTGAACTCGGAACCCACATGGGCGACGATCAAAAGGGTCTTACGCAAGATGACATAGCGACCTTACGCGGCGGCTTACGCGGACCGCCAGCGCGGCGTGCCGTACTGGAGACGAGGGCGCGCATGCGCGACCTTACGCGGGAAACTTATGCGCCGATGTCCGCGCAAACGATTCCGCTTTTTGGCGTCGTTGATCTGGCAAGCCGAAACGAGAGCCGGCTGGTCCTGAGTATGTCACCCGGGTGCAGCGCGGCCGCTCCCGAGCGCCGCCGAGCGCCCCGAGAGCGCGCCGCGCCCCGGGAGCGATCCGCCGCCGTACCAGGCCGGCACGACCGCCTGAGCGACGGCAAGAAGCGGGTCTCACGCGAGATGAGACCTGGTGGGCCGATTTTCCGCAACCGCTACCATAGGCAGGATGAGGAGGAGGAAGAGGAGGTCTACCTGGCTACCTATGGTAGCGGAGGAGGAGGAGGAGGAGGAAGAGGAGGAAGAGGAGTAGGGAGGAACCTCCCCTCTCTCCCCCTGCCCACCTGTGGCAGTGGAAAGTTAGCCCCTCAGCACAGCGAGCGGCCTTGCGTGGTGGCTCACGCTGGCCGCGAGCGCGGCGCCCTGCACTGGAAGCGAGGGCGCGCACGCGCAACCTCACGCGGGACACATTACTTGAACAGGGACCGACCGTCCCGGCATTCCTAGAGTCATACCACGAAATGTTCTTAGGACCAAGAACAAATAATGTTCCTAGAACATAAATCCGATGTTTAAATCAAGACAGTCCCAGCCAAACATGTTCTAAGAACATCTCGTGGGAACCACAAAAGGTTCTTTGAACATTGTTTGGTGGGGCTATACAAGCGAGCCGGGACGCTTCGCCAGTGCTCGAATTACCTAGGGCTCCCAACTTCGCGCTTCGCGCTCCGCGAAGCGCGAAGCGCGAATAACTTCGCGCTCTCGCGCCGCCCCCCCAAAGGGAGAAAAGGAGGACGAGGAGGAGGGGGAGAAGGAACGAGGACCGCGAAGCGCGAAGCGCGAATAACTTCGCGCCCTCGTGGGAGCCCTTGAATTACGCGCGAACGTCGGCGCAGCTGAACCCGTGCTTCTGCGTCGCTCGGCTGCCCTCGCACCCCCAGGGGCGGGGCGAACCCGCAGAGGCGAGGCGCCCGCGCGGCGGCTGGCGGCGGCTCGCAGGTGGGGCCCCGAGGGATGGGGCCGCGAGGACGGGTGGCCTCCAGCCCAGACCCCTTGGGCGCCCGAGTTATCCGGGGTAACTCGGGTCCGGGGTAACTCGGGTTTGGGTTCCCGAAAAACGAACCCGAGTTATCCCTGACCCGAGTTATCCCTGATGATTCGGGGCTCTGGACCCCCTCGCGTCGCTGAAGAAACACGACGGGGATTCTGTGTGCTATGTTCGGTCTCAAAGGGCCTTCGCCGAGCACCGGGCCCGTCAAACTCACGATGAAAGGCCAGTCCCAGGGAGTGTGTCCAAAACCCTTGAATTCGTGTTACGGAGAAGCCATGACGTCGGGGGTCTGGGAACAGTGAAAGTTCAGACAGAGATCTCTCTGTCTGTCACTGTATGAACTCATTGGCCCTCCGTGCCCTCAGAGCCCATCCCTCAAAGGCCCCATCCCTTACGGGCCCCAACTCTGAACCGCCAAGCCAAGGCCTCCACAACGGCGTGCCGGAGAAGCCGGCATTGGGCTTGTCCTCCCAGAACCTCCCGGGGCAGCCCTTGAGCGCCCACTGCTCCTCACGTGCGGGGCGACACGGGGGTAGGCCACAATCACAGCGAGGACAACCATCATATCAGAATGCGATTGGCTCAGGATGCGTTCTGCGAATTCTGGAATTTCTCAAGGCCCTCCGCCGTTCGTCTCAGGCCGCAAGGGAGAACTAGAATCCGTGAACATATTGACACGTATGATTATCATGACGTCTCGTTCCTCTGAATTGCAGGGGCTAGACCACGCAGAATCAATCATTGCGCTGTGCCATGGGCCCCACCCCATTGCTTGTTCCGTATGTGTGCCTCGTGCGAAAGAGTAGCTCTGTCCCCCCAGCGCATTCAGGCCAACACGGGCGCCATTTTGACTCCAAGCTGACCCCCTTGTAACATGTGGGACAACTTACGCCTCACGCAACACACTCAAGGTCAGGCGGGATCATCCGTGACAGCCCAAGCCAACCTTTTCAGCACTCTCCAAACAGCGCGATGGCAGATACGCGGGGCAGTAGAATGTGGAAAGGTAAACCAAACATTTGCTTGTAAATGTATGCGATTACACTCTGAATGCGCAGAATCATTAGGAATCCTTATCGTCACGTGGGCCCCGACTGCCAGTTGGCTTCCGACGCGGCACCTAAGCCGAATCACGATCCCAAACACTGTCCCCTACGCGCCAACTCTGCGGAACAAATCTCGACCTCGCATGCCAATCCATGCGGCGCGAGGTCAGTCTGCCTGCGTGGCACTTTGTAGCGTGCGGGCGCTCAATGCACCACGCCGCGCGTACCGTGCGAGATCACGTGCGGTTCTCGCGCTGGCCCGACGTCACTCGTGCCCTCGGCGCTTGGACTTCGCGAGGCCCTGCACAGGATCTCTGCGAGGTCCCTGCTCGTCCGAGAGGCCCGCAAGCCAGCGGCCAAGGTCCGTCCGCGACCACAGGCGCAAGGCCGCCATGCACGCGAGGGTGGGGCGAAAATCGCAGGCCTAGAGATTGACACCAACACCAATTTCGGCGGTGTGCCTCCACGGGGGGAAGACGATCCCGATCTCGGTGATGGTGGTAAAATTCTGGCTTCCGAGGTGGCCGAACTATTACCATCAACACCGAAAATCTATTCCCCCTGTGGAGGCAACCCTCTGTCTTGGTGTTGATGCCAATTTCCAGGCCTCCGAGAAAATGCTCCACCCCCAAACGGGGCCACAGAAACTGAACAGCTTGGATGCTGGCTTCGAAGCCCGAAGTTCGGCGGTGGACAAGCCTCCCTTTCGCAAACCTCCCCTTAGCGAAAACGGCCTGAGACCCAAACCGACGGACCTGGACCCGCAAAAAGGACGGCCGCGACGCCCCCTCGCGAACCGAAAACGGTCAATTCGCTAATCGACGTGTCAGGGTAGGAGGTCTTGAAGGGGCCCCAGGACACACAAATAAATACACATAAATAAAAATATTCCCCTATATTTTCCCATATTTTCTGGGTTTTTGTCTTCCCCCCCACTTCCCATATTTTCCCATATTTTCCTGGGGATCGAGGATTAATTGTGTCTGTGTGTTTCTTTTCCTCCTGAGAGAAGCCCGAAGCTGCCATCCGCTCCGGAGACCCCAGGGGGGACCCCGAGCAAGAACCCCCGAGCGGGAAGGCCCCGCGACGCGCCGGGCCCGCCCGCCGCCCTCCCCCGCCCTCCCTCCGCCTCCCTGCCCTCGCTCGCCCTCGGAGGCTTGGAGGCCTCCTCCTCCTCCTCCTCCTCCTCCTCCTCCTCCTCCCTCCTCCTCCTCCTCCCTCCTCCTCCCTCCTCCTCCTCCTCCTCCTCCTCCTCCCCCTCATCACCCTCCCCCTCCTCCCTCCTCCTCCTCCTCCTCCCTCCTCCTCCTCCTCCTCCTCCTCCTCCTCCTCCTCCCCCACCTCGACGCTCGCCGGGAGTGGCGCTCCCAAAATGCTGGCCAATGCGATCGACTTGTTGACGCACCGCGGGATTGTAGCACGCAGCGAAGGAGGCTTGACTGTGTACCCCGTCTTCGAGTGTACCCCACCCGCAGAAGGAACGTGCCGAAGGTGGCGCGGCCGCCGGAGGTCAGACGTGGGCTCACTTCGTTCTGTCAGGGCACAACGAATCGAACTCCACCGTGCCCAAGAGAAGCAATCCCACAAACATACATGCCTGGGGTGGGGGCCACATAGCGGACCTGGAGTACAGTCCCGCCTGGCGGAGGGCCGCGCAAACAACCCGACGCATCATGGAACTGGAGACAGAGCTCACGAAGACCAAACGGGCGAGATCGACGCATCCTGAGCGGGGCTTGTATTTTCCCTGGGTGCCCCGCGCAGGAATCTCCTCCTCACCCCCTTCTCCTCTGCATCACAACCATACCATATTCACACGCATCACAACCATCACACCATCATGACAATCGTCACCACCATCCCATCATGATCATCATGGTCATCTCACCGTCACCACGCTGTTCACACTCGCCATCACCGTCAGCAGCATACCACCATAACCACCCATCACCATCCGATCATGATCACCGATCATCAGAAGCATCGATCATGGTCTCGAGCGGGAACCTCGTCTATGAGTGAATATGGAGGAGATCTCGAGCGGGACCCCCCCGCTATGGGGCCGCCAAATCATGATACATATCCGAACGGGTCACGTCACTGTTGACCTCATTGAGCCAAAATGCGAAGGAACTCTCGAGCGGGAGCCCCGCTTCTGAATGAATATAAACAGGGAGTCTCGAGCGGGAGCGCCCCCCTTTCCATGCTACTTATCCGAGCGGGTCATCCGGATCCTGCAATTGTCGTCACGTTTGGGAGGACATCAAACCACACTCACGCTTCGGAGCATACATAAGCCCCCCACTCCTCGTCCTCATGTTCCCCCTTTTCTCCTCCAATTCCCTCCGTACCGCGCGGACGAAGACGAAGTCGGGATCACCACCCGCCCCAATACAGACTACTCGTCGGAATTGACCTGTTACCGCATTCGGCCTCTTTTTTGCGGCGTTGTTGCACAGGCGCGGCGGCAGGGCTTGCCGCAAGCAGCTGGGTGAAAGTCTCGAACGGGAGGCCCCCCCAATGGGTCCGCCAGATCACATTACTGATCCAAGCGGGTCATCCAAATCCTGTATCTGTCGTCGCCTTTTGCTTGAATGCCGAGGAAGTCTCGAGCGGAGACCTTGTCTGCGGGTGAACTGCGAGGAAACCTCGAAAGGGACCCCCATCCAATGATTTTCAAGGGCCGCGAAATCACGTTACTGATGCGAGCGTGTCGTCAAAATCCAATAACTATCTCAGCGGTTTGCTCCCGCGCCCTAACGGCCCGCGGGGTTGTCCCAACGGCCCTGGCCCGCGGGGTTGCCCAGCAATTTCTCGATCTTGCCTTTGGAGAACGCCCCCGCGCTGACTGCGGCGCTGACCGAGGCGGCGACGGCGCCAACGAAAATCGGAACCTGCTGTCTTGGACCCCATGCCGCCCGCCGACATCCTGCTGCCCGGTCATCACCACGCCGGGGGGTCGCGCGACATCGCGGGCCGTGCCGAAGGACGGACGGGCCATCCAGCCGCCTCGGCGGGGGGAGGCTCTGCTCGGATGCAGCCAAGGCCCGGGCGTTCGGATGCGGCCCCAGAGCCCAAACAAGTAACCAGAACCGCTAAATCACGGCGTCGGCGCCGTCGTTGTCGTCGTCGTCGTCGTCGTCGTCGTCGTCGTCGTCGTCAGCGTCGGCGTCGGCGTCGGCGTCGGCGTCGGCGGCGTTTTCGGCGGCGTTTTCGTCGGCGTCGGCGTCGGCGTCGGCGTTGGCGTCGGCGTCGTCGGCGTCGGCGTCGGGATCGGCGGCGGCGTCGTCATGTCCGAACTGGTGATTTTTTCGGGTGACAGCAATTCGGGTTTGTGGAATTGGACGGTCGAGGCGTCCTCAAGCACACATCACTGCACTGGGTCACACAAAACCCAACCCTGCCAATGCCCGATCTATGCGACTCAGGAAGACATACGTGAAACACATGTTCACGGCAATGATGACAGCATAAACCGATGCGGAGGACGGGACTGTGACTGGAGGGTCAACAAACTGTTTTGCCGCAGGACTGTCGTCGCCCTGTCCTTTCCGGTGGAACGTTACCACTGGCGCGACAGAGAGCGGGCAAGGGAAACAAAACAAAACCGAGGGCAATAAGAGAACCGTGCAAACGGAACCAGCCAAGCAAGCACATTCCGCCACTACTTAGGAGAACGCGCGCGCAACAAATGTGTGTGTGTGTGTGTGTGTGTGTCTCCCTCTCTCTCTCTCTTTCGTTTCTATTTTTTTTTTTCTCTCTCTCTCTCTCTCTGGGGAGAGAAGGAGGAGGAGGAGGAGGAGGAGGAGGAGGAGGAGGAGGAGGAGGACGAGGAAGAGGAGAGGAGGAAGGGGACGCAAAATGCTGGCAAGTGTTCGAACACCGGATAATCCAAATGTCACGGAGTCGGTGCGCCAAACTCGGTGCGAAACGGAACTGCATGCAGAGAAGTAGTTGCAGCCGTGCGCTCGCGCGTGCGCAGACCAGCCCATGCGGACGGTGCTCACACTGAAGACCCTCTCAAGCAAGGGAACGGGCAGAAGGAGGGGGAAAGGGGGCAAGCGAAATCACTCGACGCTGGTCGAACTAGATCTGGTGTGCATGCGCACGGGGACCGTTACATGGCGACCGGCCGCGCAGGCGGACGCAGAGACGGGAGTCGAATGCCGCCTCGCGTCGGCCGCGCAGCCCAGTCGACCTGCACCTAAAGAGCTGAAATGTGGACACATACGCCGCCTGGAGATTGGGATGCGCCGCGGCCCAGGGCACAGGATGAGGAGGAGGAGGAGGAGGAGGAGGGGGGAGGAGGGGGGAGGGAGGGGGAGAGGAGGAGGAGGAGGAGGAGGAGGAGGAGGAGGAGGAGGAGGAGGAGGAGGAGGAGGAGGAGGAGGAGGAGGAGGAGGAGGAGGAGGAGGAGGGGAGGGGGAGAGGAGGAGGGGGGAGAGGAGGAGCGGGGATGATGGGGGGGCACAGGATGAAAAGGAGGAGGGGGGCGAGGAGGGAACAGCGGCGGCAACTAGCGTGCCCCAGGCCACCTGGGGGCGCCGAGCTGACAATAACAAGCAGACAGAGAAAAGACATCGCCTGGACCAGCATCTATGGCGGCCGCCTGTCGTCGCGGCCACGCAGCTCCACCTCACTGCTCTGAAGTGCCCGCGGTCGCCCGTCCAGAGCACCAGCGAGCATCCATCATCCATCATCGACATGGCCGCGCTGAGTCCTTGCACCAACTCTTTTGCAACTTGTTCCAATGCCCGCCGCACCGCGTCTTCGCCCCGCAACGCCGATGAATGGCGTCGGAGGTGGCAGTGGATACGGTACGCCGCCGCCATGTGGAGGGCGCCCAGCAGAAGCCGTTCATCGGTCAGCTCGGACGGCCTGTAAAACAGCAAGGAAGACGCGAATTTGCTCTTCTCTCGGCAGTACGCAAACCGCAAAAATGCCGCACCCGTGCGCGCAAACGTCGGGCAAACGCACGCGTGTTCCACGGAGCTCCCGTTATCCAGGCCGCAGAAGAAACAAAACGAAGAAGCGCCGAAACGGCAAGCTATGCACCAGCCTGTCCACACCGTGCGAAGGACTGCGGAGTCCTCCTTAAGCCCATGCTTCCATGCGCGCGGCCCTGGACTTCACGGCCAACGACGCGTCGCACAAGTCCGTGAAAACGCGCGGGAAATCGAAGTCCCTCCGCAGTGCGTGCGTATCGTCGGGCCGACGCCAGTGACAAGGCCCAAGCACGAGGACGCGCAGAATGCGCGTCTCCATGGAAGCCTAACGAGTCGGCAAGGGTTCCAGCTGCGGCAAGGAACTCAGCGTGGAGGCCGTGCACACCTTGTACACCAACGCTGCGCGCTGCAAGCCTGAGGCCACACGCGCCCACAGCCGCGCCCTCGCGACCGCTTTGTCCAAGGCAGCGTCCCAACTTGAAGGGGAACTGGAACACACAAATAAATACACACAAATAAAAATATCCCCCATATTTTCCCATATTTTCTGGGTTTCTGTCTTCTCCCCCACTTCCCATATTTTCCCATATTTTCTGGGAAATCGACGATTAATTGTGTCTGTGTGTTTCTTGCCCTCCTGACAACTGTGTTCCGCACGTCCGAGCCCGAGTTGTAAGCCTAGATCCTAAAATGCGTGGCCCACGGCCTGCACAAGACAAGCCCCAAAATAGGAAAACTGGCCCATAGTTGCTGCGCGATAGAATCTGGGGGACGGTCTCCAAGCGACACCACAACCACCCCCCGTAAGTTGAGCCGGAGGCCCGAAGAAGATGCACATCGGCGAAAATCTCCACGAGGCAAGGTAGCGCCCGTGCCACGTTTTCAGATACAGTCGCGAGGTCGTCCGCAGATGCCCGCCCGCACTGTTGCCGAGGGCAACATCCGTCGGAACCGGCGCAAGCAGGAAACAGCGGAGAAAACGGTCATCCTTGCCTGATGCCCGCGCTGATCTTGAAGCCTGGGTGCTGTTGTCCACAGGCGCCCAGTCGACAACCATGCCCCAGTACAGACACTCCACGAACCTGCAGGCCGTCGCTGGCAGCCCCAGGCCTGGCAACGAACCCAGCAGGAAATTGTGAGATAGCAGTGGGAACCCCGCTTGAAAATCATAGAAAACAGCGGCTGGGTCGTCTGCGTTTAAGGCCGCTTCCCTCATAGACGAGTCAGCGTCGATCACATGCTTCAACATGGAGCTGCCGGCCAAGAAGCCCTGCTGCATGTTCGAAATGGCCTGCTCCACAATTGGTTATATTCTTAGTCGTACCGCGTTTGCTAGTGAAAGGTTGCCTTTGTTGACAATGTTGAGTGGTCTGAGGTCCCCTCCCCTGGTGTAGGATACACCTGCGTTGCAGATCAGCGAATCCTTTTCGGGCAGAATCAAACATGATGGCCTCGTTGAAAGCCGACTCTCCTCCAGCACTGAGCGGGCATACCTCGCCCGGCGCCGCGAGCCCCTTCCGAGTATCCCAAGAGTTCTGCAACCCCGTGCAACACGTGCCGAAGGAGGACATACTGGCACCATGCCCACCCTCCCTTGGTCGGGCGTTGGCATAACTGGGTTTAATGGGACCTGGTTTAGTGATGTGTACTGGGGACGCCCCCCCTGCCGCCCCGTTCCATTAACCGGAACTGCCGTCATCCGAGAGAAAAAAAAAACAAGTTACGGCAGACCTGGTTCAGTGATTCTGGCCACTTGGGGGGCTCTGGGGCCCTACCACTAACCGGGTCCCCTTACCTGGGGTCCTGGCCATACCCGACTAGGATTAGGTCGGGCGTGTCCCCCTACAGGGGGCTTGTCGACGAAACAATAAAACAGAGACGAAAAATGCTCCAACATGGTCAAAAATTATCCAAAAATGCTCCCCAGACAATGTTTTGACTGTTTTTGCATATTCCCCCTGTAGAGAGACAGTCCCGACTTAAGACTAGGAGGAGCAAGTCCAAACCGATCACACAGCACAGATATCGGATAGCACATCGTTGCTGAGGCCGTGTGGCCAGGTGACGCCCGCCTCCGAGCACACACGCTGTAAGGTTGCCGAACGCGCGCGTCGTCCCCGGGGGGGACGACGCGCACGCAGCATGAGGCACGAGTGTGCACGGGTGATGCCGATACCTAGGGGGTAGAGCCGGTTGCCGTTGCTGACGGCTTCGAGGGAGAAACTCGGCGACCGTTTCCAGGGAGCGGTCCCTCCTGGCAGCACAATAGCACTGCACCGCAACACATGCAATTAGAATGTGTGTCCGTCTGCCCTCGACTACACCCACCTCTATGTGCGCTACACCAGGTACCTGCGAATCTCATGTTCTGGTTACTGGTGGCATTACGTATCGCAAAATCTATATCGTGGACTTTCCGAGCCGCGCCGGCCCACACCGCGTTCGACCTGATTCGACGTTGAATGGGGCGGCATTGAACACATAAGCGAAAAGGGGGCGGCATTGAAGCGGCGTGCCACCAACTGTTGAAGCTATTGTTGTTTAGTGTTGTAGGTTGGTTTTGCGCGCGCCCGCCACGAAGTTCACGGGGCCCAACCAGAAGCCACCGAAGACGACGACGACGACGACGACGACGACGACGATGGTGAGCCTGGGAAGGAAAGCTCGCCTGGGCAGGAAAACTGGGGGGGGGGGGGGGCGGGATGGAGGAGGGGAAAGGGGGACAAGGAGGAACAGGAGGAGGAGGAAGAACAGGAGGAGGGGGATGGGGAGGAGGGGGAAACGGAGGAAAAGAAAAATGAGGAGGAGGCGGAAGAGGGGGCGGGCGGGAGGGTTTGGGAACGCAAAGGTACCGCAAGTTCCCTGCGCGATAGCGCGGGCCCTTGTTCCCGTCGCCACACAACTCGCTTAGCGTGGAAACGTCTCCAGTGCCAAGGGCTCCCGTCAGTGACTTCTTTATTCCCCGGGCATCGGTCGTTACCCAGGGGGGGGGGGGGCGATCCGGGCGGGACGGTAACAATAGCGGAGGCCAGGGCGTGCACCCGCCAGGGTTCGTCCGCGCCACCGGCGCATCCATCGCCTGTGCGCACTGCGACACGTAGGGGGTGGGTCCAGTGCCCCCCCCCACCACGATCGTTACCGTTGCCTGGTCGGCGGAAAGGGTCTGGCCCGGGCAGCGAACGCTACCGTGGGGAGGAGCAACAACAGCGTTCACTAAGGCTCCCTGGGAGGCTGCTCCCCCTGGAGGACTCCGGATGCCCCAGGGTCTCTGGAGGTCGGCACGCTCGCGGGTGGACAGGAACCTAAATGGCAGAACGTATGGGCCAATTTTCCACCACAACTACCACAGGTAGGAAACGGAAAATGGGGAGGGGGAGGAGGAGGAGGAGGAGGAATTGGACGACGAGGGGGAGGGGGAGGAGGAGGAGGAGGAGGAGGAAAAGGACCTCCCGTGGTGAAAATATACTCATCAACAACACCTGTTGGTGAACGTGACCTGGGGCTCGACCCAGCGATCGCAGGCAAGCAACAAAACCCTCCCGGGAAACGAACAAAGCACTGCACCTCAATGGTCAACTTGGCGAGGAAGGCAGGGTTCATTCGAGGGCGTCCAAGGGCGTCTGGGAGCTTTCGGAAGCTCATAATGGGCCAACAACAGCCGAAACAAAAACTTACGCCTGCACGCTCTCCAAGTATATGGGGCGCGGATGGACGTACCAGTGGTACGCCCCTCCTTTGGGAGCGCACGTGCGAACCAAACATGTGGCGCAATTTATGGCGGTGGGCGCCCGCCAATGAACACATACTGCAATTGGAGTCGGCAAATTCACACTATTACTTTGAAGGGGCGAATTGCTAAACGCAGCAAACCTTTTAGTATAGTGTTGTTGCTCGGTGGCGCGGCTGCCGCGGCGGCGCGTCCAAATTGCCGAGCCACGTCCTGCGCTCGCGCCCTGCAGCTCATGCCAAGGATCATCTACAACTCGCGGGACCCGATGCAAAGCAACCCGGATTACTGGAGCAAATGCATAGCGGGGTGAAATCGCAGGGAGGACGCGGGACCCCCAACCCCCGAACGGGCCCTGGCCCCGCATCCCCAAGGCTCTACTAAAACAGGCTGCGGACTTTACCCAAACGGAAAAAAAAACGGCTTCACTAAAACGAAAAAGCGGCTATACTAAGGCGAAGGAGCGGCTTTATTAAAGCGGGGAAACGAATTTCCTAAAGACGCGCCCCGCAATGCATCCAGACAAACCAGAACACGACGTTTCGCTAAAAGCAAAACAAGAGCTCTAGTAAAACGGAAAGACGGTTGGGGAAAAACTGCGCACCGAAACTTCGCTCTTCCCACAACAGATGGCGCAGGACTCCAGAAACGAGGGCGGGGCGCAAGTTCGCTCGTGGGTCCGGGCCCCGTCGCCGCCGTCGCCGCGATGTTCATCGTCGCCGTTGCCGCCGTGGTCGTCACCGTCGGCGCAGACGCCGCCGCCGCCGTCGCTGCGACGCCCGCGCATTCACGTTACTACCAGCGGCGGGTCGCGCGCGACGACCGCGCGCGCCGTTGCGCTCGCATTGCCGCTTCTCCGACGGGGGCCCAGGCGGACATCGTTTTTTTTTGTCCACCCACAGCGTCGGATTGAAGTACGCGTCGGCCGGAAGAAGTAGGTAAAAACATGAAGTAGGAAGGCGGATTAAGTTGATTGGGTCCAGGCCCCCCCCAGGGAATAACAGAACACAGCAAAAGCGTGTCGATTCTTGAAGTAGGAAGGCGCTTGAAGTAGATTGGGATCTGGGAATCCAAAAATACTTACTTTCAACGACCGGCGTGTCATGGTGGGACAAAAACGCCTTTGATATAAGACTAGAACCATCGCGCGCGCTGCGCGCGCGCTCAAGTTCTAGCTAATTAGCTTCTTGGGGCCTCCCCGGCGCATCCTGGACTGCTTCTTGAAATCGTCATGGGACCTTTTCGGCATGTCTTCGGGGGGCCTCTTAGAAAGAGTTGTGAAGCCTCTTGGGTGCCGTCTCGGGGCCTCTTTTGGGCTTCTCGGGGGCCCCTTGGTGCCTCTTGGGGGCCTCTTGGGGGCTCTTGAGGGTATCCTGGGGGCATCATGGGGCCTCTTGGGGGCATCTTGAAGCGGAGAACTTGATTTTTCAGTTCGCGTTCTCTCTCTTGGGCCCTCTTCGGGCCTTCTTGGGACCCTCTTGCGCCGTCTTGGGCGGCTCTGGGGCCGGCTCGGGGCTCTCTCGGGCTGTCTTGGGGCCCTCTTGGGGGCCTCTTGGGCCGTCTTGGAGCGGTTTGGGGAGCCATTTGGGCAGCGCTTTAGCGCCGGAAACACGAAACAGCGAGAATGCAAAAAACATTGAGAAACAATGAAAATCAACGATTTTGCCCTCTCGGCCGAGGCGCTCTTGGGCGGCATCTTAAAGTCCTCTGTGGGCGTCTTGGGGGCCTCCGGAGGGTTAAAACGCATCGTGCGTCGCCAGAGACCCCTGGGCGGCGTCTTGGGGGTGTCTCGAAACCGCCTGGGGCCGCCGGGATTGCTGTCTGAAGGCTCCCGGGGGCGATTTTAAATCTCCCTGAGGCGGGCCCGGGCCCCGGGCCCGGGCCCCACATTTGCGGTCGGGGTCCCGGCCAGCGGCCGCCCGCGCGGCGCACGCGCGCCGCGAGCCAAGACGGCTGCGCTGGACCGGGTTCGCGGCGATGTTTTCGTTGATGCTCTTTGTCGGTTGAGCGCCCTCTGGGGGCCCGCTTCGGGCCCGGGGCCCTCGGAAACGAGCCCACGACGCGAAATCTATATCGAAGATGGGGCCGAGTGCTCCCAGTCCTCCGGGGTCGAGTGCCCCTTCCTTTTCCTCCTGTGATCCCTCCTCCTTCTGTCCCTCATCTCATTCTGCATGTCCTCCTCGTCTCCCGCATATTCTGGCTCGCACCTCGAACGAGTCGTGCCGAAAAGCGACTTCAACCGACGGCCCCCGGCAATGAACGCATCCGATTCACCCGAGTCGGCACACCCCTGACACGGGTCTTGGCCCACAAGAAGATCCACCTACGGCCCCAGAGAGAAGGTTCGCATGGCATCTTGGATTGCCAGCGCATTAGAACCACGTTATGAGCCTCTTGGGGGCCTCTTGGAGGCCTCCTGGGTGGGTCTTGGGGTGCTTTGGGGGGCCTCTTGGGGCCTCTGGGGGGCCTATCGGCGCCTCCTGGGGGCTCTTGGGACCGAAAGCTCGGAAATCGAAAGTGGCTGTCTTCTTCTGTGACCCCTCTCGGGCGCTTCTTGGGCTTTTCTTGGGCCGTCTTGGGGACCGATTGGGCCGTCCTGCGTTCCTCGTAGGCCGCCTTGGAGATTTCTTGGGGGCCTCCTAGGCCGTTTTGGGAGGCCTCTTGGGCCGTCTTGGACGCGGTGACAGCCCAAGAGGCGAGCATGCGACAAATATACGTTTCCCCATAGGAGTGGAAGTATGTTAGTTTCTCGGGGTTCTCTTGTGGTGCCTCTTGGAGCATCTTGGGGCGCTTTGGGGGGCCTGCTTGGGGCCTCTGTTTTTTTGCAGCAGCGCCACAAGCAGTCCACAGGGCGAGGCAGCCGATGCAAAAGCAACTAAAAATTTCAAGCAAGCCTCTGACCTGGCTGGCTCGAACCTGCAGCCCCGAGGAACAGTTGGGCAACGGCCGCCCGACGCCCCGTAGTGCGTTTGCGTGGACCTGTTGTTTCTACGTTTTGAAACGAACGTGTGCAGAGAGAGGCCTGCGTCCTGCTCGCAGATTGACGACTGTCGGCTCATTGAGCCCGCGCCCCGTACGAACGACACAGTCCTCCCACTTCCGATGGAGAAAGAGGAGGGGGAGGGAGGAGGGGGAGGGAGGAAGGTGCGGAGGGCAGAGGCAGGGATGGTACGATGTTTAACTTCCACGCGAATGCAGCCCGCGTACACAGAGGTGGGCGATTCCTCTGGGGGGTGACAGTGCGCTCCACAACTGCACCACAGGATGGGTGGGAAAAGGTTAAACGTGGTGGAGGGGGATGTGCTACAGCTCCGCACGTGCGCCGCAGGACTCGATCCGACGAGGTCGGAGCAGGGCAGGTGGCGGCGCAAGGTGAGAGCGCGTGGCAGGACGAAGAGAAGATGACAATGCCCAGCGCTGTGCAAACAATCGTGTAATGACCATGTGGAGGGTCGGCGTCCCATCAGAGAGCTGACGGGAAAACCGAGACGCTGTCTCGCCCGGCCAGAGCTAACATCACGGCCAGCGCCCGCGGCAATGGCGCTCCGAACGGTCCCGTATGCAAAAAGATGGCGGGCCTCCTATGAACTCAGTGCCGTGGATGTCGGCAGACAGTTCGGCCCACCACTGCAGAGGCCCAGCTCGGCTATCCGGCCCTGTTTGCGGACTGCTGCAGCCTCAGAGCGAAGTGGTAGGGCAGGGCAGGGGCCCAGCGGGAAGATTCGACGCTCCATCGGGGCCAGGCGGCCAGGTTCGGCGCGCGTCGGTCCGGCAGCCCCAGAGGGGCGCCTCCAGAGCGAAAAGTCTCCGCGCGGGCGGCCAGCGAAGACGAGTAGGATTAGGTCGGGCATGTCCTCCTTCAGGCGGTTTTTGGAAGAGAGAGTAAACATAGGCACAATCTTCACAGTGATCAAAATAATCGTAACCTCGTCCGGCCTGCCTGGCTTCAGAGCAGGAGGGGGCGAGAGGCCGGCAGAAGCAGGCAGACAGAGAGCGGATCTCCCAGGGTCGGATGGCGGTGCAGTGCGAAGGGAGGTGGTGCGCGAGCTCCCCCTCCCCCATCCCATTAGAGGCCTGGAATCCTCCACCTCCTCCTCCTCCTCCTCCTCCCTCACGCACGCAGGTGCAGAAAGTAAGCCGCCGAGTTGCCAACCGAGGGCCGAGGTGCGGGGCTCTCAGAGATTTTCAACCCTCGACTGCTGCGCGCGCGCTCCTGCGCCTCCAATGTGGAGAAGCCCCGAGCCGGAAGGTCAATGCACGGGCACGAAACATAGAGGGGCACTTTGCTGGCTCAGCGATGGGCCGAGGGACACAATAGATAGCTGTCGTGGCAGAATCGCGCGAAGCCGACTCGGCCTCATGAGACGCACGGAGTGGCTCCCTTGCGAATGGCCTCTTTCAAAAGAAGACCCTATTGGCAGGACACCGCCGTCAGCTCGTCCCTGTCTCCTGGGACGTTCCTGCCGAGGACCTCCTCTACGCCCTGCCGGAGAACTCCAGCTGGAGGCCTGCGAGCCAGGGAGAAGGTCACGGAGATGGCCTTGCCGCTGGAGTGCTCCCCGAAGCCACGATGCCCCTCCGCGTCCTTCACGAACCGCCAGCACGCCCTTTCGTCCCGGAAATAAACGAACGCGAAGCCCCTGTTCACCTTCCTGTTGCCCTTTCCGACGCGCGTCGGCATCCTGAAGGCGGTGACGTCGGAGCCAAAGCCCAGCTGCGAGATCACGTCGAGTACGGCCTCCTCTCTGCACCTGCTGGGCAGGTTCCTGATGACCCCCATGGCCCCCGACTCGGCGGCGTCGGGGTTGGTGCGCATGCAGGGGAAGACCCTCCCCAGCGCCGTCGTGTTCGCTTCGCCTCCAGCGGCACCCTG